GTGCAAATTAAACCGTCTTGTATGTAAGGCTCGACCTTTCGGATAGCAGCTCTGTGTGTGTGTGCGTGTGTGTGTGTGTGTTCTGGTTCCCAGTCTCTTGGATGTGGTAGATTATTAGCCTTACTGCCCCTGTCTCCCTTCCTTCTCTCGTTCTCTTCCCTCCGTGTCCTGTTGATTAGGTTTATTATTTTATTTACATAAAATACATAAAATGAAAATGAATTCATTTTGTGTTTATTTATCACTTTTAGTTTAGTTATTAGTGGGAAAGATTCCTACATGTTGTTCTGATAGTAAAAACCTCTGAGACAAATCAGTCATTTACTTCTCACAATTAAGTAATTAAGCCTTGTTTTTGGAAATGCCATTAATTTTAATACAAAGAAGAGAAGACATACACTCACTGGACACTTTATTAGGTACACTTTGCTACTACTGGGTTTGTAACCTCACTGTAAAGAACCCTGTTTATGATGATCTGAGCTTTGTAGTTCTTTGACTTACTGCTTCCTTCCTATCAGCTCAAAGCAGTCTGGCCATTGTCTTATGACCTCTGGCATCAACAAGGCATTTTCACCCAGAGAAACAGAGATAGAGATGGTTGTGTGGGACAAATCACAGTAGATCAGCAGTTTCTGAAATACTTAGAGCAGCCTCTCTGGCACCAGCAAGCACACAGTCATTTAAATCACCTTTCTCCCCCATTCTGATGCTCACCACATCTATGTATATTTCAGTTAAAGTTAAAGGTTGCTTCCTTTTTGCTCTGTTATGCGAATAGGCAGACAAAAACAGTGTATTTCAACCAGTCTGTTAGTTGATAACCACATTAGTGTGAAGTTTAATGACACACAGCTGAAGTGATGCTTTTGAGAAATGTGCATTTTTTCCCACACAGCTAATCATAATTGAGGCGCGTCATCCTGCTGTGTTGACACATTATTGTTTGCTGATGTAAACAAAACAAGGCAAGCAAACCCAAACACCATACAACACTCCAACTAAATTGCAATCCATGGTTTGTCTCTGTGTGAGGTCAGGTTAAAACAATCTGTCTACACTTTTGTTACCATTCGAAATGAACATTATGCCTTTAAAATCAGATTTTTTAAAAATATTTTCATAAACTGGCATGGTTTATGGCTCCTGCCTTGCCCACGAGCACTGCTGCAGCCTGAGTCACCCTGGGAATGCCAGTTGCACGCCACCTCTGCTTGTTTTGCGCTGTCAAGAATAGCACGCACTTCAGTAGAGAGCAGCAGCGAAATGACATGACTCACAAAAGTCACCGACGCTCAGTTAATTATGCGAGATTCATGATCTTTTGAGTGCACAGCCAGCGACTGAACAACACGCCAATTTGCATATTTTTCTGGAAATTTTCAACATTTCACAGAAGCAGAACTAATGTGACAGAACTCTAACTGAAGGCTGCACTTGAGTGTGCACGATCAGCTGTTAAAAACTGAGACACAGCGCTGCCCGGAGATCGATTAGATTAGTCGACACGTATAGATCAAACACTTCGCTACCTGCTCCGTCGCTCACAAACATTACAACAAACTTTAAGTCAGTTTGAATAAAAAAAAAATTAAATGGATGGTGTCAGTTTTCAAACCATTTTTAGGGGGAAAAAGTTGCAAGTTTGGTAAAAAGCACATTAATTGGTGGTAACGTCTAAAGATATGACAGTGGCTTTAAAGGTTTCCATGATTGTATAACAGAGTAATGAGAGCCTTTGAAGTGCCACTTTTCCCAGCTCATATCACGTAGTGTGTCCTCGTTGCAGTAACTGCTGGGATCTGCTGTGTTCGATTTGAACTTCATAACAAAAAAGTTTGTTTAGCAACAGCAACCTAGTGATCTCAACTGGAAAGCTGCAGGCAGTAATTTGCTCCTAATTAGACACGTTTCCTTTAGTGCCTAAAGGGTGAATGTTGAACTGCACAAGTACAATGTGTGAATAAGTGTTTGTGCTCCTGTGCATTTCTGTGTGAGATAAACATCGAGAGTTGTTGAGCCGTGAACTCCTGCCGCTCTGTAACTTGCCTCTTCACCCGCTTCCCGCTAAGTCTTCATTAAACTGCCTGATTCAGTTACCAGTAACTGGAGCTTAATTAGGAGAATTTGATTTTCGCTGCTGGGTCTCGTGGAGAATGTTGATAATCACTTCTTATGGACAGAAAATGAGTGAGATGCTCTGCGGTGGGGTGCAAAAGTTTCAGCTTGCAAAAAAAAAAAGTTCCAGGTTGGAGACTGTGCCTCCAGTCTGCTTTGATTCATGCTGTTTTTGAAAGCTTTACTAGTTCTTCACATAAGTTCACAGGATGACCACCAAGAAGAAAGAGGACTTTCAAGGATTCAAGATAAGATTCAAATTAAGATGGACAGCGTCTGTTGTAATTGCTCTGTATATATGTCTCTGTGTGTTTGTGCTGTATGTGTGGGTCTGAAACATCTAAACATTAGAGGTGAGCAGGTCGATCTAAATATCCATAGTGTCGATACCAACATTGATATTGGTATCAGGCCGATACTAGTGTGATGGGATTGATACTTTGTGTTTATCCCCTAAGTTCAGCACTAGCAGCACTGAACTGTGTTAAACAACTTTTTGCAAATGAAAAACTATTGCTCAAACATGCACTATGAAAAAATTCTGAACCTTTTTGTGTTGACTATCATGTTTATTTTGATTTCTAGCCTATAGCACATCTAAACAACCAATCTGACCCACAGTGATTTAGCGGAAGGCACATTTACCTACCAGGTCTCCAACAAACACAGTTTCAAACTGCATGAAAAACTGAACGGTGTGTTTTGTTGTGTTAACTCATTATTGTGGAAAGTAAAAAATCACAGTGATTTAGTGGTCATTAAAATGCGCAAATTGATGATGATTCAGCTCATAAATCATCGCACTGTGCTCTGCACTGCATAAGCTTTATAGGTTAAAAGTATCGGCATTAATATCAGCAGTACTGGCCCTGTATTCACTTGGCATTGAATATATACCAAAATCTGCAGTATTGCGCAGTATTACTAAAAATACTTTCAGGACTCCATCCATCCATTTTCCTCTGCTTAGCCAATTCAGGGTCCAAGCTGCCATAGGCTGAGAGCTTTCCGGGGTACAACCTGGAAAGGTCGCCAATCTGATGTTGGGTTAACACCGACAGACAATCATTCACACTCACATTCACATCTATGGGTAGTTTAGAACCACCAGTTAATCCTACCCCACTAACTGTATGTCTTTGGACCTTGGACAGCAGTGCTAACCACCACGCTGTCCTGCTTCTGCACTCATTTTTTATTATAATAAATTTCACGAATTGCTGCTGGTAGATATATCATGCATTTCAGTGTACATTCAATCCAATAGTGATAATAAGAAAATGTGATGTTTGCGATATTTCAGTTGGTGACGAGTTTCTCTGCGTCTCTCCGTGTGTTCTGTCAAAACATTTCAGAACAAAAGAAAAAAAAACTGTGCCATTTTCATCCAAACCCGTTGCAATTTTTCAGTCTCGATGTTTTCTGACTGAGAGTGACGTCTTTATTGCTGCTATCAACAAAACTCTTGCTGGCTCTCTGTTTTTTTCACCTGATCTGCAGAAACGCCTCACGAGCACCACGATTGGTGAATCTGAAATGTCCCACGCTAAGATGAAGGTGCTCACACAGAGGTCTGGAGCCAAACGTTGGCCCTGATGTTACCTATTGTTATCTGTCTTACTTAAATCTCGGCTTTGCTGCTTGATTTGCACCGAGCCCAGTATCACATTCATGCCACTTGTGGTCAATAAAGCCATACTGAATCTGAGCAGGGTCATGCAATCCCAGATCCTGTCTGCACGACTTTCTTGTGTAGATGCGGGACATTGGTGTGTGTGTGTGTGTGTGTGTGTGTGTGCGTGTGTGAGAGAAAGTGAATAAGACTTTAGGTCACAGACTAAGCAGTTTATGAGAATTCTTCCTCCTCACTTGTTGCAGTGAATAAAGCCTGATCCCACACTGACAGTGGAGATTATGAGGAGTTTCTGTGTGTGTGAGCGGACACTTCCTGCTGCTCAGCCCTAAATTCTCGGCTTAGCTCCATGGAAAATCCTCTTTACTGTATTTTTCTACCTGTCTTTCCCACTCTTAAGTGTCTCAGCATCAAGCTGGAGAATGTGGTCGAAGAACTGGGTGCTTAATTAGCTGACTAAGAGTTTGATATGCACTTCATATTTATTATTACTATAAAACAAAGCCTTTTATTCTTTGGTTCCAACCTAAATGCCCTTTTAGTTAATTTCTGCATTTATGTGATAACATCCTATAAGATGTACAGTTAATAAATCATCATTAGTGAACTTTATCATTCCTCTTTGATTCATTTTTGCTCCTCTGTGTTGAAGTGAAAGAAACAGCAGCCATATCACGGCAGCTGACGACACAAGAGGGATCGCGAGTCTGAGCTGCTCCTTCAGGTTGCCTTAGAAACCAAACCAGGGCTATTTGTTCCAATTTGCTCTGTGGCACTGAGATCAAAAAGCTTGGAACCAAATGTGCTCTCTGTATATTAGCATCTGTGTTTGGTTCGACACAGTTTAGGCGTCTGTGTGCCGCATTTACATCTGTGTGTTCGTTTACAGTTGAGCCACATATTGGTTGTGTTGTTTGTGCGAGTCGAGTCAGGTTTAGGGCTTAATGTGCTTGAACTATACTGAACTTGGTGGTTTGTTATTGTCCAGTTAGGCCATCAGTTGTTACAAAGGCCTCTCGCAGGTCCCTCTTTCCCTTCAGCCCCCCGCCCCCCAAACCCCATTAAGGTTGGGGTTTAAAAAGCCGTTCCCGCTCCGCCTTCTCTCCGTCATTGAAAAGTTGGCGGTTTGTTTACGAGACCGCCAGCACTTCTTTGTGGTTCTGCGCTCTGCTTATGAGATGGAGGCGAGTAGCTAGTGAAACACTCACCCCTCCCCCTTCCTTCTCTGTCTCCTTTCCCCTTCTAACAGAATCAATTTGAAAAGGACAGACGGCCCTCACAGCCCCCTGTGCCTACACCCCAGTGATGCTTAGCTGGTGAGTACACTTTAATCTTTTTCATTTGGAGCCTCCGTGTCATTTTCATCCACTACTTTGACTGGTTTCTATATCCTTCTCTGAATTGCTGCTATGCAGTGGTGCAGCAAGTTAGTTGACTCTTTTTACTTTTATCCTCAATTTTTTTCCTGGGAAACAACAACATTTCTCTCTGGTCTTGTGGATGAAGGATAGCAATTACTCTTTTCCTCTCATTCTAACTTTATTTAAATGTCTTCCACTCCCCCAAAGACCAAAAAGAAGTCTCACTGGCCTTTGTGGTAAAAGTAAGGCAGTCTTTTTTGGTGAAAGTCCTTTATTCTGACTGACTGAAGTGATTTGAAAGGCAGTGGGGAGAGTTTTGCAGTAGAGGCGGAAGAGAGGAGGATAAGCAGAAGTGGTGGGGGCAGGTAGGGGTGGAGGGGTTTCATGCAGGCTGCTAACGGTCAAGGTTTACCTTTCCACCTCTCTTTGTCCCTCTATTTCTATCCATCTCGTTCAATCAATCAAACTATGATGCACAAGCCACGCATCAGTTATCTACAACTCGAATTGTTGTACTTAAAAATGAGTTAAAAACAGCACAATGCCAACAAAAAATAAAGACAAGGATAAAATAAGTGAGTGTCAAATTGATGCTGGATAGTCAAAAGTACTTTTTTCCATGTGAAAGCGAAGCACTCCGGTCGTCGACAGCCTTGTGCCTAATTGACACAGCACAGTGAAATTATTATACAGGTGACATGAGTGCATAATCATCTTTTGAAATCACCTTCACCAGAGCAGGTTGGGGCCATTCTCAGAGCTTTTACATGCCTTTTTTAATTCAGCTGTAGCAAGAGCAAGAAAGTTGGGTCATTATTCCGTCCATCAACACCTGACGCTTGAAAGTTTATCTTATGTAACATTTTAAGATATTTCTACGGTGGGCCGGAGAGTTGCAACGTAACCAGCAAATAGACAAACCCTGCAAAAGCACACAAAAGGCAATGGAAGTAGGAAAAAACTCAGAAAATACAACGGAAGTGTTATTGTGGATTTTTTGGGTGGGGGTTGTTTTTGCATATACTGTAGAAACTGAAACACACGAATAAATGCACTGAGAGAAAACGAAGTGGAGATTCATCAGTGTTGTGAGGGAGAAAAATATGCAGTCAGAGTGTATTTTAATCACATGAGTCATGTAATACTAAACTTATATATTTGCTATTAGCTGCTCACTGTTAGCTTGTCACTTCTGGAGCTGTTCCTTCATGTTCTCGTCTCCCCCCAAAACACTTCCCTTGTGTTTTGTGTGAAGTGGTTTCTCTTTTTAAAAATGTTTCCTGGTGTTTTCTTAACTTGCTGTGCATTTAAACTGTCAGGGCCAGATTTAATCATCCGGCCAAACCGTGTCAGTAAGGCCCGTCACCATATTAGGTTTAGACATTAAACCCTATGACTGGATGAACTGTGGCGAAAATTAAGTAAAATGTTGGTTTTCTACTAGAAAAAATGAATTATACTGTTAAAAAAAAAAGAGTGAAGGGAAGTGTAGTGCAGCTTTTTGTGCAGTTATAGAAAGTAGTCTGTCCATAATTGCACAAAAATGTACACAAAGTACAACAGTTTTTTTCTAAATGTGTTATTAACGTGGCATTTTTAAATCTCATAGCTATGTTGGTGAGTACAGTTGGAATGTGACTGTCCCCTGAGGGAAGGTATCCAGATTACAAAAAAACTGAATAGTAGGCATGTTTGAAGCTAAGTTTTTAATATATGCAAGCTCTCCTGGAGTTCGGATGATCTGATATCGTCGTGTTGGTGTTGTTCCCAGATCATCATGAAAATGTTGTTCCAGGTTCAACATCGCAAGTGACCAATCATATTGTTGTGACGTTATTCTTTTGTGCGCCAAGCCATTTGGGCATTTATGAAATTCCAATGTTGCAAGGACAATATCAGTTCTGCTTACCGTTTATTAAAGCGTTAGGGTTAGGGTCAGGGTCCGTTGATCGGCGGACAGAGGCGGTTTCTCGCAGCTTAAGTACAGTTTTTGGTTTTACGGCGGTTTTTCCCAATGTCGCAAAAGTATGATGTCACAACATTCTGATTGGTCACTTGCAATGTTGATCCTCGAACAACATTTAGTATGATGATCTGGGAACAACACCAACACGACGATATCAGATCGTGCCTTGAGCATGTGCTAATGAACAGAGGTGGTGAGAAAACTGTTGGCCTACATGTTTTAAACACAATGGCATGCAGAGTGAGCTCAAACTTTCATTTAACTTGTCTCAAATACCTTCACACACACACACACAAACACACATATTCACTGAAGCTGAACATGAGCCAGAGTGACATAAAAAAGTTTTTAGAAGGTCTTTTAGTCATTTATCAAATCTGTGAAAATGTGGAGGAGAGCAAAGTGAAGGAAACAACATCTAATAAAAATCTATCCCTATTTGTGAGATTGGTTTTTTTGCCTGGATATCATATTCTTTGCTGTCCCAGTGCTCATTCAGCTATGTAAACTAGATCCTATTGTTACGTAAACAGTTCAAAAAAACGCCTTGGATAACAGAAAGTCAAACTGAGGAGCTGAAAGTCAAACGTTTGGCATCCCCTCGGAGAAAATGACCTTGTTTACTGAGCGACTGAGCAAAAATGTTGTACTCCTAAAATCAGAATTTATGCATCATTGATTTTTTTATTTTATTCTCATAAAATATATAATAGGGTTATTTGTATTGTAGCAACTTTATTGACTTAACCTTGACTCAACTGGACATATATTTAAATATATTAAAGCACTTTTCATTGCATTGCAAATCTAACCTTGCGTATTTGTTCACACTGCACAAAGTATTTAAATAACTCTAACTTTTTATTAAAACGTAAGCAAGTGATGCCACTCAATTTTTGTTTTCTTTGGCTTTATTCAGTCTCAAGTGTATCTATCATCTTGGTTTTGATTTCAAGCCCTTTTTATCTTCTGCCCAATTTCTCCTAAAATTAGTAGAGACTGCTCTTGCTCCAATCTCAACCACTTCTTTCTCTGTATTTAATATCCCTGAAGGCAATCCCTGGAATTTGCTTATTTTCTATTGCTCCACTCCCCTTGCTCAGCACATGCATTCAGCTCACTTTCTCTATTCAATTCAATTTGTGGCCTAAATATCTCCCCCTAATATGTGTCAATGGAGTAGAGTAGCAGTGCTCCCTCTGTGGCTGCTTTGAAGAAGCTCCACTGCGTTTGTCTTGGTTCTCTCTGCCCCTCTGGGAGGAGATCAGGGGCTCCAATCGTGGTTGGCATGATGTCTCCTCCAGCCCCGCTGTTGTTTGCTGATATTTAGTTCAGGATAACAATAAGCCGGAAGAAAACAAGCTCCTTTCAGGCCAATAAGAGATGGAAGGGCTGGACTGAGGGAGAGAGAGGCCTAGAAAAAAAATGGGGGTGGGAAGACATGGGTCTCATCCCTGGACGGGGATGCTCTTTAAAGTATTCTGTTTGTGGCCCCCAGGGCCAAATTAAGGGAGCATCATTATCCCTGGCAAATTACCACGCTGCCTTTGTGGTCCAGCCATGGTACATTAGGGTGCCTTAAAACGTGGCTGAGCTGTGCCTATTCAGTTTGCGAAAGTGGGGCCACTGGCAGATCCTTGGCCTGACTCACAGAGGAGGCATTCACGCCCTATCGGGGGGATGGTGACAGCAATGATGGTGATGGAGAGGTTCTCTTGAGATGAGTAAAGAATCTCTCGGGCCAAGGCTGATGTGTGATCTTAAATCACGTGCCAGCTGATGATGTAATCATTTGGCTTCATCGAGGGTTTGAGCCGCTGAGCAAATCCGGGCCCTGACTGAGACATTCCTGAAGATTTCCACACCAGTAGCAGGAATTAAATTAGATCCAGTCTTTTAGTGGAATAATAATAATTATAATGATAATATGTTTTTTTGCTGTCAGATTAAGATAAACTTTCATATTCCTGCTTTATTATTATTATTTCTTTATAATAAAATATTTTTTTGTCAGGATTTGATTAAATATTAATCAGCCTTTGACCTTTTTTCCGCTAAATTTCAGTAGTTAGCTTAAAAATATGAGAGTTGTGGTTTTGCTTTAAGGTGTACAGTTATCAACAAGTACAAAGAAGAAGAAATGGCTGTGGATGTTTTACTTGGTCAGTGCTTTCATGTTTCAAGAGGCAGTTAAGATAACTGGAAAAATTCCAGTGTCTTGTATCCAACGCTGAAAGTGAGCAGGAGGGGCTGATTTCAGAAGAAATGTCAGATCCTTTGAGCCTGTGTGAAGGATTTCAGTAGTTGCAGAGTGTCTGCAACAAATAAATGTCTCTGAGTTCTGTATGGCATCCACTACAAGCTGTGAAGGAAGCTTTTTTTTCTACATACACTTTTTGCAGATTTTTTAATCTTTACTGCAACAGGACAGTGAAGAGAAGACAGGAAAGCTGGGAGTCACGGAGTAAATAGCCACAGATTTGGTGGATTTAAACCCGTGCTTCTGCATTAGCCTTACTACATATTGGGTCACCTGCTCAGCCCAGTGAGCTAAATCGGCACCCCGGCAAGCTTTGTTTTAAACATTTGCAGGTAGCTCACACTCAGCGAACGTTGATCCTCTGGGTCTGAAACAGTTAAATTAAGTTTTCATCCGATGCCAAGTAAAGCCAGGGTGCTCCATGAGCTATTATGTCAAACTCTTCAAAGAAAACTAAATAAGAGCGCTGCTGAAGGCGCCGCAAAAGTTCTAGTGTGTGAAATATTTGTTCTTGGCACTTTGCCTTTATTTATCATCCAATCAACTGGAAGCTTTACCTCAGCGATTGATGTCTCCCTCATTTTATTTTTCTTACCACGATAGGTGGGAGATTTCATTACTTTCCAACATTGTTTCCGGGTTTTATGAACTCAATCCCTCCGCTGAAGTAGATGAAGAAAGGGAGGAGGGCTTTTGTCCAGGGGCTGTGGCAGAAAACCCTGAGCCTGT